AAAAAAAACAAAACAACGCTTGGACACTGCTAGCACGGCGCGCATACACAAACGCAAAGCAGGAGATGAAGCATAGCTGAATATGTTTCCAAACCAACTTCATTCTAAGCCAAAGACTAGAAAATATGGTGAAGAAGGGCCAAGGTAGGTCTCCCCTGCAAAACTGGTTTTCCCTTCGTCTGGAGCATCGCTGGGCTGTTCAAATCATGGACAAACAGTATCCCACATTCTTGATTTTTAGTTCACAAACACTTCTTGTGATGACTAACTACTCCTGACATTTTGGAGATGTTAGCTTTTTATACAGTAAAGCTACAGTGGGATACAAATAACATCAGGCTGATCCTGCCACGATTTGTTCCCCGGTTCAAATCACGGACGAACAGTATCCTACAGCTGTTTATGTTTTTAAACCCATTTTGCACATAGAGACATTTTTTGAAAAATGTATTGATAGCAATGTTGAATATTATTACACAGGAAAAAAAACAACTACATGTAAAATAATCACACCGTGAGCTTCTGCCTTTCTAAATAGAGGGACAGTAACTGCATGTGTGTATGCAAGCGTGTAAAACCTAAAGATAGAGACAAAATACTGTTAATCTGACTATCTGCCAGTCTGCAATTCATCTCATGTAAACAATAACGTGGCGCACAGCTGACGTGAAAAAAGGCGCATACCTTTGACGGTGAGTGACGAACTCTGTATTACTCGTCCACACGTAAACGCAAAAAATGAGTTTTAAAAAATCTCAGTTTTCGGTGATTCCAAACGCCGTTTACGTGTGGACGAAACAGCTGCATTTTCAAAAATACCCGTGTAGGTGCGGACGTAGCGTAAAAGAGTTAGTAGTTTATTTTCTTACTACCTGCAGATTACTTGTATTTGCTTAATTGTTTACTAAATGTTTGAGGTGTGAAATAAACCACAATTGAGCAAAATATGGGTGCGAACATTTTTCTTGTAAAACAAAGGGGGGCCCAGCGGAAAAAGTTTGGGAACCACTGTGATAGATTAACCTCAGGTAGTTAATTTGGTTTCATTAATTCAGTTTATTTCCACCAGTTCTTAATCAGAAGCCCAGAGTAATGATTCCCACACTGACTGAGGGACAGCAGGCCACACTGACCTGCACTGCTCCTGGTCTCTGCTCTGGATCTGTTCCTGAAATCACCTGGACATGGAGAGGAGCAGGAGGGTCTGAATCTTACATTACAGGAAACAGCGTGGATTTCAAGACTGAGAATCTGACTGATGCAACACAGAGACACATCTCAACTTTAACCTTTAATCCTTCAGCTGAACAACACAACACCACTGTTACCTGTAAAATCCACTTCACAGGTGAAACAACTACAGAAGAGGCTTCAACTTTGAAAGTAAACTGTGAGTTCTTTTACAGTCTCATTGTTTTTGTTTTTTAAATCTACTGAAGTTTACAGCTCCATGCAAGCTTTGCAAGAAAGTCAGAAGTTAAGGAAAGTACATGATTATGTACTTTATATTTTTTGTCTCACAGATATGAAGGACGTTGAAGTCATTGGGGTGACAAGTGTGAGGGAGGGAAATGTTCTGAATCTGACCTGCAGTGTTGAAAGTTTCCCGCCAGCTCATATTGTGTGGAAAAAAGTTCCTCCCAACACAAACCTTCAGACTGAAAACACTGACCTGCACTATGATACTGGATCTGCTACACTTGTCAGTCCGAATGTGACAGCAGAAAATTCTGGGCAGTACATCTGTATGGCAAAACATCTGGACAAAACACTGACTTCCTATGTCAATGTGACTCTGACATGTAAG